CCCTCCAGTCTGCTCCAAGGTTCCTCCTCTTCTTCTTCTTTTATGTTGAGGGCTTCTGGGTCCAGCTGGTCCACACCAGGCCTCCATTCTTCAGGAMCTTCTTCTTTAATCAGCACCATCTGTTCAACATGAGCAGGAACCACTGAAACACATCAACATTAAGGAAAATAACTTAACCAGGGCTCTGAAGTCTCACTCATTGGCAGTGACAGACACGCATTTCAGGATGTGCACATGCAATATTTTGCATGTCTAAATAAAACAAACACACACGATTGCACACACACACTTTTTGAAGAACTAATGTGCAGCTCAATGTTTTTCTCTCAGCTGGACAGACCCATTCGGATGAACCGCTCACTTTGCCTAAAAAGATCCATCTCTGCCTATTTTTGTGTTTTTATTCCTGCTTTGGGAGTCCCGCACGCTGCGTTCAGAGCTGATCACTCCTGTCAATCACCCGTCTGCGCTGAGCGTCGTTATAAAAAGCTGCAGCAGTGAGACGAGACCCCAGCTCAGTCCGAACCTTCCCACCTGTTGGGCGCACAAATGATGTTTTTATCATAGTTTAAAAAACTCTGTTCTCATGAGGACACGCTGAGCGTGCAGCAAATCACCTGCAAACAGCTGGATCAGCTGTCAGAGCTGTGTTAAATAAAGGGATAACCTGGATATTTTTAAAGCAGGGCTGCAGGTTAAAGTTTATAACAAAGACCTCACATGAGGTCTTGGAGTAGTTGTTTTTTTAATATGCGGGCAGATATGCAATTTTCATCTTCTTCTTTTCAACACTTTTCAGTCAATAAATGATTTACATGGATTTTTACTGGTCCTTGTTGTTCATACATGCATGCATGCATACATACATACATACACACACGCACGCACGCACGCACACACACACACACACATTCATAAATAAAACTTCTACCAGTCTACATGCAGCAACTCCAGCTACAGATGACTCTTCTATTCCCATGAATTTAGTGATTAAAATGACAGTAAATTATTTTTAGTAAAATGTAAACACAAAGCTAGCTATCTTATCAACATGTTTAAGTGACGCCACGTTAGACTAAGTTTAACATAAAAAAAACTATTAAAACCAATAAAATGATCTTACAAGTTAATCAAACAATTCTCCTGGGTTAGTTGAATGAATAAATATATATTTGAGGTTTATTTTCTTCCGACAATCGTTCGGTAGCTACTTCTAGTTAGCTACATTGGCGGTGAGGGGTCCTGACAGCGATTAGCTGCCCTCGTTAATGCCGTATTGTTTATGACTTCAAAATGTCAACACATTTTAAACTGTCACGTAAAATATAGTTATAAACCCCATTTAAGGAATACTAAGAATAAAAACGTCAGAACAGCAAATACTTAAATAACCTATAATAAAAGAGATGATAAAAATACCATCTTCACAATACTGTTATTTTATGTTTATAGTATTTATGATTACATTGTTAACTACAACAATTGTTCTATAAAGTACCACAAAGTGATTTAAAATGAGCAGTTAGATTTTCTGTAAGGACATTTATTAGGAGGTGACCTCCCCAAAAACTGCAGAAATGACTGTTG